AATACTTGATGTTCTTTTTCATTTATATTACACCCGATTTCAAATGAGTGCGAACTCTCGAATTCTTTTTCGGACGCTAAACTTTCACTCGACCATCATTCGCTCGACCACTTGGTAACCTGGCACAGCTTGAAGCGGGTAAAATTAYCYAAGTATAAAAACCAHGGTTAATGTATGTCTGTGGGCTAAATTCCTACAGTTTGTGATCGCACTACAAAACGAACTTATTATAAAAACTAGTTTCGGTTTACTTAACTTTCTCAGCTCACAATTACAACGAAACAGTTGAAAAATAAATAGSGTGAAAAACACTGACAAGCGCGCGCACTTTAAATCGCTTTTAGTGTTCGTAGGCTGTTCTTTGTTGATTTTACTAGTTTACTGATTAAAATGAAGAGGTTATCGGACGATATTCGGTGGAAGGTTATTTACCATGAACTTATTTACGGTTCAAGCATTAAGGAAACTTGTAGAGCGTTGTTTGTAAAATTCGACAACTTTATAAATGTACAGGAAATGTTGCTGTACATACACATGTAAGTGTCATTGTAAACTTGTATTCAATCAATCAGGGCTTTTACAGTAGAGCGCACGTCACATAAGCATGAAACAATAGCCGACTTTAGATATTTTGGTTCAGTGACCATGCACAAAAGAATTGCAGACGAGGCTCCGGGGAAATAAAGAATAAATCAAGATTATCCGTTGATAATTTTATTTTTTTTTAATATTGCAAAGAGTTATTTTGAAGTTCACGCTTCAAAATGACCAATCAAAGAGCGTATAATATCGTTTTATTCTTTATTTCCCCGGAGCCTCGTCTGCAATTCTTTTGTGCATGGTCACTGAACCAAAATATCTAAAGTCGGCTATTCTTAATGATGTATTGCTAAATAAGATTTAGTTGCACTAACTAAGAATTCAACCAAGCATAAACACAATGCCAATTATTTAAATTTCTTTGTAGCGTTGTTCTCAATTCTTAGTTAGTTGATAACTAAATCTTATTTAGCACTACATAGTTAAGAATTGTTTCATGCTTATGTGACTTGCACTCTAATACGAATAAGAATATATTTACTTCTTCGAAAGAAGGTTACATTTAAACATAAGCTACTTCGTTTTCAACCTTTAATTTAAACAACAATGTTGCAATTATTTTTTCGCTTGCTTGATAATTTTTTCATTGTAAACTTAGATTGTTTACGAAAGAAAAGAAAAATGTGTATTTTAGTTCAACATAACTCAATATCTTTTCAAGATGCAGAAAACAACACCCTCAAGTTCATGGTTCTTCCAAAGCTATACCTAATTGTGCAAAGTATTATTTGCATGCATTGGATGTTTACAAGTTAATAAAGCCAAATTTAAACTACAAATCAGATAGAAAATTACATTTTTTAATCAAGTTTAGTTGATATTCTTCTAATTGTTCTAAATTGCATTGAGTGAAGTAGAATGTTCTGGGAAACACAAGGACCACAGGTATCTCGAACAAAGACCACCGCTTCTTCCTCCATAATTCTAAATGCGAAAGTCCCGCTACAGAAAGTCACGCATCACTTACTAAACACGTGTGCCTGGTTACCAAGCGGTCGAGTGAATGACGGTCGAGTGAAAGTTTAGCGTTCAAAAAAAATTCGAGAGTTCGCACTCATTTGAAATCGGGTGTAAT